AGGAGATTGTAATTCCTTAGTTCTCACAATTAGAATGTCATCTGAAATTCTGAAGCATTACATCCCTTGTATGTGTCCTTGCTTCGAGAACTAAGGAATTACATAATTAGAATGCCATCTGAAATTCTGAGGCATTACATCCCTTGTATGTGTCCTTGCTTCTTAGTTAAAGCATATAAACCCTTTTGACAAAGTTTGTCATACTGTTTTCTATGCATTCTTTGACTTTTCAATTATGTTTATGAAAAGCTAAAACTTCTGTGTGGGTGGCAGTCAGTGGAACACCCAGTGTTACGCTACAAAGTGTCACCTGACCTCTAACACCTTCCCAAAAAACAAATGCTGAGGGTTAAGCCCACAGCCATCCAGGCCAGGGAGGAGAACAGATCCCCGTGGGGATCCCCGAGGGGCAATGGCTTCAAGCTGGAGGGGAACAGATTTAGACTGGAGATGAGGAGAGGGTTCTTCACTGTGAGGGTGGTGGAGCACTGGAACAGGTTGCCCAGGGAGGTGGTTGAGGCCCCTTCCCTGGAGATATTCAAGGAGAGGCTCGATGAGGCCCTGGGCAACCTGGTCTAGTTGGGGGTGTCCCTGCTGACTGTGGGGGGGGTCAGACTAGATGACCTTTGGAGGTCCCTTCCAGCCTGGGCAATTCTATGATTCTATGATTATCTGCAAAAGATGTGCATGCAGTTCCTTGTCTCAGTGCATCCTCTCCAGTGCCATGGCTCCTCCCTGGGCTGGACTTCGTAGGTGGGCAGAGGAGAAGAAGAAGGTGGCTGCTGGGCCTGCAGCTGGCACAGCAACTACTCTAGAGGGTTTTTTTAGGGAGGCCATTAGGAAATACCGGAGCAATCCCTCTGGTCCCCAAGGGATTTTGGGGACTAAGACACTCGCGGCACACTTTTCTAATTTTGGAGTTAGAATTTATTATGCTTTTCATAAAAATAATAGTTTTTAATCACACATAACCCACTGCAGAAGAGACACATTCTTAAGTATGGAAAGCAATTGAAGGTCTGGAGCCAACCTGAAGTTAAAAAATGTCCATTTTTTAAAAGTATGTTTTTGAAGGAAATAAACCTTCCCTCAACCTATCATTTAAGTGATTTATTTAGTCTTCATGTAGACTAGAATTTTAGACAGTATCTAATCCATCTGCTTATAGAGAAAGTTGTCATTCATTCACCACCTGACAGAGAGAGCTACCCTGGGGGTTAACTACAGGTTCTGGTGCTGTCTGAGGGAAGGGGCAGCAGTTTGTATTATTTCAAATTTTATAGTCCTTGGCTGTGTGTTTGCAAAGCTGTTTTAAATTCACTGCTAGGAGTCTGCCTGTGTTGATGCTTACTGTGGGGCAGGTCTTGGTGATAGCTTGCAGCAATGAGTTCCACAGGTTTTCACTGCTTCCTGTTTGGAAAAGTATCTTTTATTATTATTATAGATTAATGAATTTACTGTTTCAGTGGAGGCTCCTTTTCTCCTCAGATGAGGTAGGGTGAATAGTTCCTGATCTACATTTTCTCCCTGCCACTTATTATTTCGTATGCTTTGATCATGCTCGTTCTTACTCGCTTTTTTCTGTAAACATTCCCAATTCTTTCGATCTCTTTATTATTCTTACCACACATCTCTTTCTGATGTATCTTTCTTAGATGGGCTAACCAGAAATGAACAAAGTACTCCAGATGAGGCCGAATTATTGATGTACATAACAGGTAAAATCCTAGCCCTGTTGAAGTTGCTGGGAATTCACTAACATCTAAGGACTGAGGTTTCTCCTAGTGCTGTCACATTTCCTACATTATTCTTCCTCCCATTTTTCACATATTCAACTTCAAAATTTGGCAGCTGAGACTTTAATCTGGAATCCTACTGATTCAGCATCCTCCATTAAATTGCTGTTAGTCCTTAGATTAGCAGTGTAGCTTTGCGGCCAGGATTAGTTCCCTCCCCAGAATACTTTGATGAAAAGGGTCAAATTTGTTCTGATTCAGACCAGTTATGGAACCACTCTTAATGTTAGTTGGGAACAGTTGAAACTGAGGGTAACAGCTCAGACTTGGAAACAATGCTGTTTGTGTTCACGGTGACCTTTAGCTGCAAAATCTGCTAAAATACATTATTTAGTATAGGAAAGCAAACAAACAAAATTTTTCCCTCGGTAAATGACTGTCCACAATGTAATCTGAATATGAGGTAAAACAAGTCAGAGGGTTGTTGTGGGTTTTTTTTCTTTAGCATCTGCAAAAGGAATCTGTTAACTTCTGCTTCCTCCCCAGAACCATCTAAGAAATGTTCAGGTTGTTGATGGCTAATAAATACAGTAAATGGAATGTTAATAAATCACCAGCAATTTAGCCTGACAATAGCATGGATTGACCACATTGATTAAATTGATTATGTTTCATATATTTACAATATGTAGACACAAGCCCAATTTATTTTCTGAAGGGTTCAAGGTAGGTATCACTGGTTTTTTTAAAAAAAAAAAAAGCAAACCAAAACAATGGAGTAATGTTTGTGGTTGCTATCTGCAATAATCTAATGCTGACAGAGAGCAGTATTTTATTTAGTAATTAACAGTGTAAAGGGGAGAGAAGCTGTCATGTTGGTTCTTAAGCTGGGGAATGTGATGAAAGATGATATCTGCGATCTCATCCTTTCCACTTGTTTAGGATTGTCAGGATGAGAAATGTCAGCATTATGAAAGCTCAGCTCTGCTCTTGATATGATAAAACCCTTCAAAAGCCAGTCTTTCTATCCCTCTCCCCCCTCCTTTCTCCCTCTCGCACTTGCTTTTTTATTTATCCTGTTTTGTTAGATGGCAGAAATATAATTCTTTTCTTTCTTCCTATTATAAGCCACCATTTTTGTTTTATTATATGTTTCACAACCCCTAATGCCCCACTGAAAATTACCTTGTTAAATGACAGTGTTTCAAAGCCATGAATCCTTTCCACCATTCCCTCAGAGGTTTGAAACAGTCAACAGACTGTAAAGAATAAATAATAAAAAAGTATTGATTATTTTGATGACTGTGAGATTCAATTAAGTATTAATTTTGCCCTCCAGTGGACCTATCAAGGTATTCAAAAGGGAGGATTCAGCTCAGCTAAATGCGTGCTGAGTGCTTCAGCCTTAAATAGGGAGAAAATGTGTTTACCTACAGTATTTGAAGAGGAGTGCATTGATGCACAGAGTCCAATATTTAAGTGCTGTGCAAATTAAGCCCTGGTGACAGTGACATTGTTTTCAGCGATATGAGTATTGACTAAAGAAGTGCATTTGATGACAGCTTAAACTATTTGTATTGATTAACATTTTCATAGATTATCATGTGTCATATCAAATTCACTTTTCAGACATGAATACATTAAAAAACCCATAGGCAAACATCGACCAATGTGAGGATGGGACAGAGGGAACATGCTAACCAACCTACTTGCTCGCTGGTCACCTGTTCTCTGCATAAGAACCATTTAGGCATGAACTTTGCAATAAATAGCTGCCAGAGAGCGCAACAAGGTCACTTGTTCCTTTCCTTTTTTTTTTTCTTTAAGTTTTTTTTTTTATTTAACTCTGGTTTCCGTGCTGTCATGATATTATGCCTATTAGTTTGCAAACGGAATAATAGAGTGTGCTTGGAAATAATGCCTGACCCCTAAATGTCCTCAATGAGCAGAAGATAAAACAGATCCAAATCGTCAAGAAAAATTTTAAATGTGTGTATAGATATATATATATCTGTAATGCTTTACGGGGGATATAATGTCGCAAACACAAGAATAATTGCAAACTGTTTGTGTAAGTATCTTCCCTAATTTTACCTTTTTAAAAATGGTTTCTGTGTTTTTTTTTTTATTTTCAACAGAAAAAAAATGTGTGTTTGTGTGTGTTTATGGAATTTAACTCTGGTTTCCGTGCTGTCATGATATTATGCCTATTAGTTTGCAAACGGAATAATAGAGTGTGCTTGGAAATAATGCCTGACCCCTAAATGTCCTCAATGAGCAGAAGATAAAACAGATCCAAATCGTCAAGAAAAATTTTAAATGTGTGTATAGATATATATATATCTGTAATGCTTTACGGGGGATATAATGTCGCAAACACAAGAATAATTGCAAACTGTTTGTGTAAGTATCTTCCCTAATTTTACCTTTTTAAAAATGGTTTCTGTGTTTTTTTTTTTATTTTCAACAGAAAAAAAATGTGTGTTTGTGTGTGTTTATGGACTTCTTAGAGCATAGTATCCCGAAGACAGGAACAGTTGCAAGAAATCTGTATCTCTGTTGAATGTATGTGATGGAAAAGCTATTTGCTGCTGTGTATTTTCATAGAAAGGCTGGGATGCTAGAAACTGTGTGTATGATTTTGTTAATGTACAGCTGAGGATGCCTCTTTAAATCACTACGGAGCCCTCACAGGGCGCTCCTCTTCCGTGGCGTTGGAGCATACAGGAATTTCTTTTCTTACTACGTTAAGGGCAGGGTGAGGTGTAAAAACATACACACACACACACAAAAAAAAAAAGCACATCCCACAATTAAAGCTGTGTTGGTTATGTTGCTTTCATAGAAGTTTTTCTCCAAAGCATCCTGAATCTCTCACATGCTAGTTGAGCTTTAATAGGGTGGGGAGTAATGGAAAACTCATTGGATCTGTAATAGCTCTTCACTTGACTGCAGCCAGCAATAACAGCAGGAGCAGCCAGAGATAAGAGAGAGAGAGAGTGTGTATGTGTGTGTGTGAGAGAGAGGGAGTGGAAGAGAGACTATACGCACACCAAAGCTGCCACTTTTTTTTTTTTTTTCCCCTCCCTTTTTTTTTTTTTTTTTCCCCTCCCTTTTTTTTTTTTTTTTTCCCCTCCCTTTTTTTTTTTTTTTTTCCCCTCCCTTTTTTTTTTTTTTTTTCCCCTCCCTTTTTTTTTTTTTTTTTCCCCTCCCTTTTTTTTTTTTTTTTTCCCCCTCCTTTCCCCCCCCCCCCCCCCATCCTAGGATCCAATGATAGCTGGACAAGTCAGTAAGCCCTTGCTGTCACTGCGGAGTGAAATGAATGCAGAGTTGAGAGGTGAGGACAAGGCAGCTACTTCAGACAACGAGCTGAATGAGCCCCTGCTTGCGCCCGTGGAATCAAATGACAGCGAGGACACTCCCAGCAAGCTCTTCGGTAAGTCTGTCTAGGTATTTCATTTCACTGCTACCATGTTGTCCGGAAGAGCAATCTCCCTCTGTTCTTTTTTTTTTTTTTTTTTTTTTTCCCTGTGGTTTGCTCAATTTTCTTGTAAGTAGGAAGGAGTAGGTTGGAGCGTGCAGCCGTACAGCCCTCTGCTCCCATTGCAACTGGTTACCAGAATGACAGCGTCAGTCCTGAAAACTTTTGTCAACAATGAACTTATTTTATGCAAGTTGCAGGCATTTTATGTTTTCTTTTGATCCCTGGCGTCTAATATAAAAAAAAAAAATATGGGGGGAGGGGAAATAATCTTCTTGAAGTAGTTCGTTAACATTTATTGCGTTAGGTGCTGATGGGTCTGATGCTACCAGCTATTTCTAAGGCTGGATTAAACTGGAAAGTTCCCATTTTATATGGTAAAGATAAAGCTGCTGGAGAGAGCTGAAAGATTCCTATAGAAAACACTCTGTAGTGAATAAACAAAGGCTACCAAGGGTACTGCACATGGAGCCAATGGTTTGGGAATTGAAATTAGAAATGAAATATTTCTTCTAAAGCCTATGCCAAGAGAAATTACTTTTTGAATTTTTATTTGTTTTGAAATAGTCTAAATTATGCCAGATAAGTGTAACCTTTCACAAGCAAAACAATAGCAGCCAGAGTGGCACTCCAACACAGACATCTGTCATTCAAACGGATGACACCCTGTAAGCCAACTCAAGCAACTCTGATCTCTAATCAGAAAAGGGAGCAGAGTTGTTGAGGCGCGTGCTTGAGTGATAGATGTTGATAGATGTCTGCGCTGGAGCAGCACTGGATGGTACAGAGTGACATTTGGGGTTTGGAGGGACTGCTCTCCTCGAGGAGTTCCTTTTAATTATTTCCATTTGTGACTTCACATAAACCTTAATGCTCTGCTTCCATTTCCTTATTTTACATGATCCTAGAGGTGGAAGTTGAAGGGGAAAATATTTTGTTTAACGGGAATGCAGCTTTAAGGGAGAGAGAGTGAGAGCCCATTTTCTAAGATTCAAGTTTTGATTTCCTAATCTGTAAGGAAATCTGCAGCAGTGTTCAGATTTCAGAATTCCAGCTATAGTAAGAGCTGCAAGATTTTTTTTTTTAAATAAAAGAATACATGCAATTTTCTTTTTATAAGATCTTTATCCCTTACTAAAAGATATAGCACAAAATATTTTACTAGTAAAACAAGTTCCTACAGAGATCGGAAAATAATAATAGTTTAAAAATCCTAAAATTTAATTTCTGGATTACAGTAATGACCATTACTGAATATCACATCCATTTTTAAGCACCCTCTTAGTAATCTTTGTTTCCATGGAAAGCATAATTTCCATTAGTAGTTTGAATGTTCAAAAAGCATATAATAATTGTTTTAGTCCATTTCATCCAGGAAAGAACTGTAATGTCTAAAATTCAGAGGGCTGTTAGTTGTCTAGAGTAGTATAAATATCTTCAGCTGTGTTTATGTATTTTATTTTCTCAAATATGTAGGGTGCATCTATTAAATATAGCAAAGCATATACAAAACAAAAAAACCCCAACAGACTTTTAATTTGAGGGTCGTGAAATGTCTGTTTGTTTGGTTTTAGATCAGGCAAGTCTTGTAATAAAAAGCAGGATGTTTTTCTGAGCCATTGTCACTTGGATGCTCTAGAGTGATAGTGAAATACACACAGACACTTTGATTAGAGTTGCCGTGTGGGTTATAGAAATGATGTGCAACAATATCTTGTCTCCTTCTGAATTGCAAATATAATTTATGTCCCTAAAAGCACTAATGAGAAAGCTGCAAATTAATATATTGTGCTGTTTCTATCGGGGAGTGTAAGATGTTTTCTAGCCTGATTGTTATACTGCTAAAAAGGTGTTCCCAAGTAAACAAAAGTAGGTGAAACAGTTCAACTGCCTCAGTATGAACTTGGGCACCATTTATCGAGGTTCTGTTACAATTAAGACAGATGCTACGGGTCTTTTAGCAGCAGCCCTTGTTGGTTAATTGCAGTAACTTTGAGAACATAAAAAAGGAAAGACAATGGGGTTAGCTTGATGCATTTGGGGATCAAACTGAGCAAATTTTAAATAAAGATGATTAGCCTTTACGTCACGGATGCATCCCTTAAGATAGATATGCAGTAAGCATGTATAATAATTAAGTGTAGTTTTGTTTAAAGCTTTGACACATAAATATGATACACAAACATGGAGCATTATTCTCTAGCTGTTTCTCTTTGTTTAATGTTATGAATAGCATGTTAGGAATGTATACTTCGGGCCTTTCTTTGCAGTCTCTGACATTAAATTAAATTATTGGTGGACTTACTGACACGCGATGGCATAGAGTCTGACAATTTTCTCCTCCAATTTTCTTTCATGTGATCAGAGATAATAATTTTCTTTTCATAATATAACATTTAATGCACGCTGTGTGAAAATTTGCCCAAAATCTGTTAAGCAGGAGAGGGAGGAGCGTTTTAGAAAGTCAAGGGGAGGAGACAGGTCCATACGGAAGAAAGTTTTTCTACGCTGCTGCTTTCATGTTTTTTGAAAAATTTGTGAAAATCACGTACTGATTGAGTTGGAATGAATGATCAGCATTTGAGTGTCTTGTTGATTTTAGCAATATTTCATGCGTCTTATTTTCAGATAGGTGAACAGAGTTGAATGATTAGATGGGAAGAGCTTTCTTCTTTCTCATTCTGTTTAGCTTCTTTTGATGGATGGGTTGATTTCTGCAGTGCTCACCTGTACCTTCTAAAATCCACCTCTTTCTCAAACTTCCTTGTTTCACTGTGTATCATACAAACAGTGGCTATTTGCTTTTTGATTTTGGTAGCAGCACAGTTAATCATAAAAATGGCACTTCTTCAACAACAATCCCTGCTGCAGGTGAGGAGAGGGCAAGAGCACAATGAATTATACTCATTTTTGACTTATGAAGATAACAGAGTAAACTTTTGTTTCTCTTCTGGGTGCTTTGCTCTCAGTGACAAAGTAGGTGAATGCTGCAGCTCCTTGGGTCTCAGAAATACCAGTATGAGCTGGGATAAGCTTCTGATGATCTACGATAGCTCCCACCTGAAACTGGTGCACAGGTGTCTGGGAAAATGCACTTTGTCACTGCGGGGCAGTTGTTACCTCTGAGTGATGACAGGAGCAGCTGTGATTAGAGGGGTTGTGCTTGCTTGTTGTTTGCCTGCTTGCTTTCTCGTGGTGGTGGTTGGTTTTTGCTATGTTGTTGTTATGTTGTGGGAGTTGTTCAGTGGGTTGTTGTTGTGGTGGTGTTTTTTTTAAAGAAGAGGCTGTCCTGTAGTCTGGGGGTTTGCATCCGCAATCCTCCGCGTGTGTGCTTATACCAATGGTCTCTTGGGAATCTGCATTCCTACGTGCAAAAGACTTTTGAGGCTGAAATCACATGAAACAAGAAGGAAGTAAAAAAATGTGGTGAAAAATACTTTCCGAAGTGCAAAATGTTGGTAAAGGACTCTATCCTGAAACATGTAAACTCAGAAGTAGTTCTGAAGTGTGGAGTGAGCGCAGCTGCAGTGTTTCAGTAACAGAAATCCCAGTTTTGCTGAGTAAAATTGCTTTGCAAGAGATCTTGTGGGGTATTATTTACTCGTTAATTTTTTTTATTCTTTTACTCTTTAAAATATTTATGAAGCAGTATCTCCTATTTTAATAATATGATTAAGGAACAGCAAAACTGAGTCTGGTGGCCGACATTCCTAGTGGTGGCATTTTCAGATCAACTTGTCTTAATCTGCAGTAGATTTAAAAATAGTAATTCTGGACAAAAGGCACAGCTCTTACTGGAGGAAGCTTTTGTTAATACCAAGTAGTAGCTTCCCTTGAATAAACACATTGGGATTTGACCCTAAATTAATTAATCCTAATTGCTATTTTATACAATATCTTAAAAGAAGGGTAAAATAAGTTATGAAGTATTAGTCTGAAACAATTTTAGTAAGAAAAACCCCTGTGTGTTCAGCTGTGTAATGTTATAACTGTTGAGATTCAAAAGTTGGTATAGACATCAGGGATATACTGTGCATCAAGTACAAATCCCAGGAAAGAAGTGGCTAATCCAAGCATGAAAAGGCCCTGTGGACTGAGGCTGGCTCTCCTGGTGTTAGATCTAGTCCATAATTCATCCTTAGCTGAAGCTAATTTGTGACATAATTAGATGATGGTAAAAAGAAAGCTGGGAATGTACCTGCATGTTAAGGTTATTTTGCTGTATTATAAAAAGTTGCTTTTTGAGATCAAGGCTGTAGCTCTACACATCAAGCTTATTGAAATAAATAAAGCTGTAAGTCTTTAGTGTGCAAGACCAAGCCTATAATTGTGGAGCACAAGTGTTTCCTGTTTAATAATTGCAGGACAGTAAAAAATTGACTGCTAGCCTTTTTTTTTCTTTTTTGCTGGCAAGGTTTTGTTCCAGTGAAATTAAATCTTACGTTTCCTGTGCTGGATCTGAAGACTGTGGTTTCATTTGGTTTGTTACCAGAGTTTTTTTTGCCTTTTTTCATAATTCTGTGTGTGCTTGAAATACGCTACCAGAGGTTTTTTTGCCTTTTTTTCATAATTCTGTGTGTGCTTGAAATACGGAGCAGTGATAGGCGAGTTAAGTGTATCTGCACACGTTTCCATAAACAAGTGTTTATTGTCAAACCCCTGCATTGGCTTTAGGGTTTTGCTTTCCTTTCCTATATTTTCACCCCTGTTTCAAAACTGCATGCATCTTTCTATATAAGCATACACATACATGCTGTAGCAGTGTGGGGCAGAAGTTGTTTGTAGCTGATGGTGTTTTGTTAGTAGATCCCTTGTATCGCTCTTTAAGGAAACATACATTTTTTTCCAGTTGTTTTTTTTTTTAATCTGAGTTGTCTTAATTAGAATTTATGGCGCTGGAGTCATTTCAGTTACAAAGGATAAAGGACTAAATTGTCTTTTACCTCTTGAGACAG